ATTTTATTACATACGTACAGGAATAATCTAACATTATTGTTTTTCAAACTTTGAAAAAAATATCCCAGATTTCGAGTCCTATTAATTTGTTGAATTCGAAATAGCTTCGTTCAAAATTTGAAAATAGTTAATAAAAAAGCTATCGTTTGATTAACAAACCAAAAAATTTAATGCATAATAGATATTGTACTAGAAAATTAGGTTTAATAGAGAATCTTTGAGAACATTATGTTTTTCTTTTTGGTAGCAATTTGTAAGTACCACAGTAAATGAAAAGCGCAGTAATAAAAAAAATAATTATACTTAAATAAAATCGAACAAAAATATTTGCCTTCCAAATTAGTGCAAGTTACGATAGAATTTGAATTCAATTTAATAAGTATAAATATTTAAAATTGACTCAATTAATAAAAATTTTCGTTATCGGATAGATATAAGTTGGGTTTCTTAAAATTACACATAAGGAATTGAAATTTTTTAGGCCTAAATAAATTATATTCCTCTACGTATAAACGGCATTACATGTTTAATTACCATTTTTGTCACAATAACGATCTTTAGTTCCAATAGTTGTATTTAATTGATCTTGAACTTTAATACGAAAATCATAATACTCTTGTGTAAAAGGGGGTTTACGACGTCTATTAACAGATTTGCCATTGAGAAATTTAGTAGTATTCAAATGCATTGCGAGATAAGGTTTAAAAATTTTACAGTTTATAATGATTTTACGAATAAGAATTTCATTCTTTTTTTAAAAAAAATATTTTTGTTGATTTATAATAATTAATTTTAACCTCATTTAAGTTGATTCGGAATTTACTAAAATTCTATCTCGATGTATAGCAGTTATTCGTAATATGTAAAACATGGAACGTACTGTATGTCAGTTATACTTTCTCAGTAAGTTTTTGCTTGTACACAATTCACTCAGGTATAACTAATTTATTCAATGCTATCTACTTATTTTAGAACTGATATCTTATTACTTGTAATCAATTATTTAAAATAGATATAGATCGAGTAAGCAATAAGATAAACTTAATCACTTTTTATTCAACTAAAATGATTATTAACGAAATATTTAACTTTTTACCCAACATAGCTATTTTTAAAATCTATGCTAATGAAAAAAATTCAACAATTGTTTCGTTGCAGAAAATACAATGAGAGCAAATCAATATCATAGTATAAACTTAAAACTTTTCAATAAAGACGCAGTAGCTTTTTTTTTAAGCATTTTTGATAATATCTCATTTTTTTCAGAACATAAGTATTTAAAACAAGTTAGGGTAGTGTTATTACTAAGTGCATCTATTATAAGTCTTCCTGTTTCAAAATCAAATCCATTGGACATATAAATATTCAAATAAGTTAGAGTAGTGTTTTTGCGAATAGATTTTGAAAATGCTTTTCCTGTCTCGGAATCAAATTTATTAAATTGAAGGTTTAGAGATGTTAGGGTGGAATTTTTACAAAGAGCCGCCGCGATTGCTTTTCCTGCTTCAGGATAAAGTTCATTACTTGAAAGGTCTAAAGATGTTAAAGCGACTTTTTTATAAAGAGCTTCTGCCAATGCTTTACCCCCTTCAGAACCAAGTCTGTTATCCGAAATATTTAAAGAAGTTAAAGTAGCGTTTTCACACAGAGATTCTGCTAACGCTTTCCCTGCCTCAGAATCAAATTCATTGTTTGAAAAATCTAAAGTAGTTAAAGTTGAATTGTTGCCAAGAGCTCTTAATAAAATTTCTCCTTTTTCACTGCCAAGCATATTTTTTTTAAGAATTAAAGTAGTCAAAGTAGTATTTTTGCAAAAAGTTTCAGAAAACGCCTTTCCTGCATCAAAACTAAGTTGATTTTCTTCAAGATCCAAGAAGGTTAAAGCAGTATTTTTGCAAAGTGCCTCCGCCAATGCTCTTCCTCCTTCAGAACCAAGATCATTATCGTAAAGATACAAAGAAGTTAAAGTGGAGTTTTTGCGAAGAGACTCCGCAAATACTTTTCCTCCTTCCGAACCAAGATTATTACAACCAAGATTCAAAGTAGCCAGAGTAGCATTCTTATAAAGAGCTTCCGCTAGTGCTTTTCCTCCTTCGACACCAAGTTTATTGCCATGAAGATTCAAAAAAGTCAAAGTAACGTTCTCACAAAGAATTATTGCTATTGATTTTCCTGCTTCAGAACTGAGCATATTATTTGAAAGATTTAAGGTAGTTAAATTAATATTCTTACAAAGAATTTCTACTAATACTTTTCCACTTTCAGAATTAAGTTTATTACGTGAAAAGTTTAAAGTAGCCAAAGCGGTGTTTTTACAAAGAGCTTCCGCTAATACTTCTTCTGCTTCCGAGTCGAGATTATTTTTACTAATATCCAAGAAGGTCAATGTTGTATTTTTATAAAGAACCTCTGCTAGTGTCTTAATTCCCTCAAGATCAAGTTCATTGCTTGAAATATCTAAAGAAGTTAGGGTGGTATTTTTTGCAAAGAGCTGCTAATGCCTTTTTTCCTCCAGAACTTAATTTAATAGATTTAAGACCCAAAGATATTAATAAAGTATTTTTATGAAGTATCTCTGCTAATTCTTCTCCTATCTCGGGTCCAAGCCAAGTATGTCCAATATTTAAAGAAGCCAGGGAAATGTTTTTACAAAGAGCTTTCATTAGCACTTTACCGGCATCTGTTAATGGCTCCTCATGTTGATCCCAATAAATATCCAGGGATAACAGGGTAGTGTTCTCGCAAAGAATTTCTGCTAATGCTTTTTCCCCTTCATTATCAATTTCATCACAGTAAATCTTAAGAGAAATCAAGGTAGTATTTTTGCAAAGAGCTTTTATTAATACTTTTCCTTCTTCTAAACCAAGTTTATAATATCTAATGTCTAAAGAAATTATGGTTGTGTCCTTGCAAAGAGCCTCTGTTAACTCTTTTATTCTTCCAGGATCAAGGTATTGGCAGGAAAGATTCCAATTTGAAGCATTTCGTCGATCTTCAGTATTATGACGGCGATTCTTGAGAATTTTTTCATAAAGTTCCAATGCCTTAGTATAGCTACCTGCAAGAAAAAATGCTAAAGCTTCCCTTCTCATATCCTCAAGTGCATAATCATATTGAGTCGAAGGATATTGAGTATCGAAAGTAATCATATCAGGTATACGAAAAGACATTGTTGACGTAAATTCGAATTGGTTATGTTATCTTGTTGATTTGATAAAAACGTTTCATCATTTTGAATTGGTTGTGTTTCGTTAGAAGTGAGTTGACATAAATTTTCAGAAGTGAATTGATTTAAAGCTTCTCCAGGAGTAAATTGGTTTAAAACTTCTTCAGTAATAGGTTGATTCGAAGTTTCATTAAAAATAAGATGATTTAAAACTGAAAGGACCGACATTGCATCTGGACGAATTGCAGGATCAGTGTCCCAGCATTTTTTATAAAGATCAACGTATTGGGATGGTGTATCTTTGATAGGTGTCTCCCTGTTTCCTAGGAAAATGTGAATGGAAAGAGATTCTCTCGTTTGAAAAGATTGAAATGGTGGTCGGCCGCTTGAAATTTCCCAGAGAATAACGCCGAGGCTATAAATATCAGATTTCTTATCACGTTTATATTGAGGATCATGGAGGCATTTAGGTTCCATATATGCCAACATTCCATGAGCTATCGAGTTTGATGACATTGATTTCTCATCTATTTTTTTCGTTAACCCAAAATCAGTAATTTTTATTTGTCCTCTATGAACTAAAATATTCTTAGAATGCTATGAAATAATATAAAATAAACCGTTTAGAAAAACGAATTACTGTAAAACGAGCAATCAAATAATAGAATAAACTTACAAAGTCCCGATGAACGATATTAATATTATGTAAATATATAAGACCCTGTACAGTTTCTTTTGCAATATTCAATTTATCAATCCATTGCAATGATAAAAATTTTCTTGATAAATATTTCTGCAAATTTCCATCGCTGGCAAATTGTAAGATCATATTATAATTTTCATTATAAGGGTCTGTTTTATAATGGATTTTATGATTAATGGAATTATTTAGTATAGAATTTATATTTAACTTTATATTATTAAGAATAAAATGAATACCTTTAGTTATACCATAGAATTCAATAATATTCGGATGTCTACAAGCACTTTGTAATAGCATAAGCTTTTATTAAATAAAATTTAAAAGATTTAGAATAAATTTATCGTAAGAAATAAACCTGATAATTTTATATAGCAAATCATACCTCTTTAATAAATTCTTGAAAACTATTTTTATTCAAGTTTATGTCAACTTTAAGGCATTTAAGAGCAACCATAAATCCACAATTTTTCCATTCGCACCTAGAAACAGTTCCAAAACCCCCCTCACCAATTATCACACCGTTAATGAACTCATCATATTCAAAGCAAATAATATGTTCATCAGAAATAGCTTTTTCAAGCCACCCCTCCGAAATTTCTGCCATTTTAAATTCGAAAGAATTATCTTAAGGACGTACCGTACGTACTACGTTACAGATTACTAGTTACGTATTAATAATGTGTGCATATATACTAACTGCATATGTACAGTAGTACAATTTCTAAATTAGTATTATCGATTAACGTGAACCAGAAAATAAGGAATACAAAGTCAAATTTATTAAAAAGACTGCTATGTTTTTTCAGGTTGGAGGTACTACGGCGCACTAAATATTTCGTATTGTACGAAAAGTATCGTGTCACACATTTCGTCATGTTTGGTTTTATCATCTTTTTTTGGGGTGATGCCAACATGTATCATTTAGGTCGGTGACTTTATTGAACTGTTAATATGTTAGAGTGGTACATTATATAGAGATTGACCAGAGACGGCAAAGACATCCCGAGAAACATCCAATAATTATTGCGTTTGGAGTCGCAGTAGGATAGCTAAGCCGGTGGTTTTCTGTTTTGCCGAAGCAAGCCGGCTGTGAGCAGAGAATAAACGAGAAATGCGAGCGGAAAAACACTTTCAGCCAATGCTATTTATCTTCATTGTTCTTTCATATGGGAGTGAGGCCTGGGCATTGTTTGGCACATGTCGTTGCATTATTTCATATGATCCTTCGCCTTCAATCAGTTTCTTTTTGTGTATTGACGACCCCGACTTCATTCGATGGCTCTGTGGCACAGATGTGTGGCATCCGGAATTTCTAATTAACCATAGCTGCCGCAACAAATTTGGACCGGCAGATTCTCGATTTTGATTGGCTAAGAGCGACGATCAAAAAAT